ACTAGGTCACGCATCAAGCATTTCAAAATGAGCCAGGTTCCTGTGCGGTGTGTTTGTGTTACCTCCTGCTAAGAACTGAACTCCTTCCTGTATCTTACTGCCAAGAACTTTCTGGTGAATTCTTTATCTGCCATTTTTGTGAGAACCCCTTTAGTTGCAAGCAACTGAAGCTTAAGTCAAACTGGCATTAACAGAGGTATCTGTCGGGTTGGCAAATGAAAAACATGTAAGCAAAAAGTCGCGGACTAGTTTGGGCTTGAACTACGGCTAGGTCTTAGGGCTGAAAAGCTGTCCCGGCCTCTCTCAGCTCGGCTTCCTCTGAGTTAACCTCACTCTCTGGCACGGCCTCCCCACCATGGTGGCCTCCAGCCCCCCAGGCAATTGTTCCCCTTGGAAAAAGACCCTCTTTCCCCACCAAGTCCTGGGATTGAGTCTCACTGGTCCAATTTGGGTCATGTGTCCCTGCTCCTGTCTCAGAAGCAGTCACTGTGGCTAGGCTCCTAGCTGGGAAGTGTGGCCCCTGCCCATGGGGAGTAGAGTTGGGGGTGCTGGAAAGTGTGCCCCTGCCCATGGGGAGTAGAGGAAAGGGTCATAATCAATGCCATCATAACTGATGTGAGGCCCAGCAGCATCGCCCAAGAAAACCATGGCAAAGGTACCTCTTCCAGACTCTGAGGTGGCCACTAGGCAAAGGCAGAGCTGACACCACTCTCTCTGATTGACGATGCTGAGCCGAGAGCTGTCAGCTTCACCAGGACCCTCACTGTGCACGAAAAGCCACTCAACCCGTGTCAGTCGCTCCCTGCTGGCTCTCATCCTGACAGCTGTGTGCTCGCTTCGGGCTCCGCCACGTCACGGCCCATCTCCCTTCTCATGTGTGTCCCCTCGGCACACGGATCAACCCTGTTGGACACATATTAGGAAAAATCAAGGGAACTTAGGAGCTCAAATAAACGGGAGCCTCAAAAAATGTGTCGCCAGAAGTTGGAGACTTTGAAAGTGATGGGAGACTTCTGAATGTGTTGGGAAGCGCGGGCTCTCGCCTTTTCATTGTGGCATTTCTTCATTCCTGCACCTCACCAACAGCCCAGCTGTGCAGAATGCCCCACAAGATTGGCTTCGTGGTCGTCAGTTCATCCGGACACGAAGACGGCTTCAGTGCCAGGGAACTCATGATCCATGCGCCGACTGTGAGTGGATGGCGGTCTCCCAGGTACGCACTGGGGCGGCAGGGGTGGGGTCAAGGAGGGGTGCAGATGGATCACTGACGGAATGGTGGGTTCCTTTCAAATTAAACTTAGGTTTTCATTGAAACTCAGACATCAGAACCACAAGAGAGTCAACTTGTGCAGCCGATGCCGACTCATAGCAACCGTGCAGGCCAGGTAGAACTGCCCCGTGAGTGTCCCAGGGGCTGGCTGGTGGTTTCGAACTGTTGACCTGATGGGTGGTTAGCAGCCCAACTCGTAACCATGATGCCACCAGGGCACCTGCATTTAAAGACAGTAAACATTATAAAGATGGAAAGCAGTACCTTAATGTTGTAAAAGGCTCAAGATGATTCTTTTCAGAGGTTGCTTTCCCCACCCCAGGCTTCCTTGTGGACCCCATTCCCCATACCCCCCTGCCTATGTGAGCACTGATGTTAGGAAGGAGCAGAATCGCACAGTGCTCACTCTGTGTCCCGACACAGCAGGGTTTCCGCAGACTCTGACCCAGACAGCCTGATATTCCTTTCCTGCCTTTCTCCCCTTCTTCACCCCTTTCCCTTTGCCTTGGGCCACATCAGTACTGGCATTGCTTACCCAGCAGCACACACAGAGACAAGGGCTGGTTCACTGGTGGCTTTACCCACAGTGGGCAGTAGGGAGGGGACTGAGGCATCCTTGTCGAGACGTGAGGATGGCCTGGATTTCTGGCTGGTGTGGCCACTGCACAGTGTCAATGCCGTTGCCGGTGTGGGGGAAGTGGAGGGGGAGGGGGAGGGGAGACTGGTAGGGTAGAGTGGAGCAAGGGAGGGAGCTGGTCCTAAACAGGTGGACAGCTCAGTGCCTGGCAGAAGAACTATGTCGTTGGGATTCAGACTGCTTGGGGCTCCTAAGGTGTGTGCAGAAGGAGGGGCGGCAGGTTTTGGGGGAAACCTGGACAGGGGAAGGAGCTCCTACGGTGGGAGAACCAGGTGTGCACAGTGCCACAGACACTTGGTCCGTCCGGCACAAAATCCCTGAAGGCTGAGCAAGGCCAGGAGCAGGAAGTGCACGTTGGTGAAGGAGGTCAGCGTGGTCCTAGCAAGAGTGAGCCAGGCATGGTTGGGTGGGACCAGGGCCCTTGAGGCATGTGGAGGAGAATGGGAGGGAGCCTGGGGCTGCAGACAACTCCTGTAGGAAGCTGGGCAGAGAACACGGATCCCAGCAGTGCTCCTGGAAAGGGGCAGGGGCCAGGAGCCGGCCCTGAGTGCTGAGCAGGGAGTGCTGGAAAGGAGCCCCATCTGGCCACCAGCACTGGGGCTCCTGTGGAAGGAGGGCCAGCACAGCCTGGTGTGTTGCTGGGCTTGCATGGAGGGTGCTGGACGTGCTGTAAAGAGCCATCCTGGCCTCAGAGCTCCACCGACCTGCCACTTGCCAGCTGAGCGCACATGGGGGCGCAGTGTTCACCCCATCATGGCCACACATGGCAGCCGTTGATTACTGCTGTCGTTCTCTGGCTGCCGCCTCTCTTTAAAATGTGCCGCAGCAGTTCTCTGCCAAAGCCAGAGCTCCCGTCCGGGCCGTGTCAGGGGCGTTCTCTTCCAGCACTGAGCAGGAGCTAGGCTCGGGAAATATGATTGCTGCCCGTACCCGACGGCCCAGGCTTCCAGGCGGAAGCTGTCTTCTCCACGCATGTGGGTTCCTGTGGGAAACCCTGTGGCTCTGCCTCACTCACTGGCACAGCCACTTACTGCGTTCCCGTCTTCAGCTCACGATAAACTCCAAGTTTCACTTCAAACCGTGTTCTAGCCACCCAACAGCGTGCAGGCCACTCAATAGCATCTTGCTTCCAGGCTTGGGCTCCCACTCTGGGAAGCCCGAGAGGTCAGGAATGATGTCAGCCCTCTCTGAAGCTGCTCCACGGACACGTGCACCTAGCAGACTCGTGACAAGTGCTGATTTCACAGAAGAACGGGATGCTGGCATCCCGAGCCCCTCTGCGGTAATCACTCAGAAGAAAACACAAGCGTATTTGCTTTCAGGTTTTGCCCGTTCCCACAAGAAATCGTTCTTCAAATGGTGGAGAGATGTCGAATCCGAAAACTGCAGCTGCTTGCTCACCAGTACATGATCTCTAGTAAAATTGAGTTCTACATCAGCGAAAGCTTGCCCGAATATTTTATGCCGTATCAAGCAGAGCGCTTTCGAAGACTCGGGTAAGATTGACATTTGAAAATGTATAATGGTAACACTTAGGCCAATTCTCCTGAAAGCAACGAGATACAAATGACACCCCCTTACTTGTGGCCTAGTATGACTTCGTTCCTCTGGGCTCAGACTGCTGTGACTTTTAAGGACTGTCTCCCATTGAGAATGGGCCCCCTTATCAGTAGTGGGCAGCTCTGCAGATGCAGGCCTGCTCTTAGGACTGGTTAGAATTTTCCATCTGGGCCCTTGGCTGCTTTTTCTATTCTAGAAGCCTTGTTGAAGACAGGTGCTTTGCCTCTGCCCTCCCAGGTACGTGTCCCTGTGTGATAACGCAAAGACAGGCTGCAAAGCCCGGGAGCTGAAATCTGTGTACGTGGACGCTGTCGGGCAGTTTCTAAAGCTGATATTTCACCCGAACCACGTCAACAAGTACAACATCTACAACCAGGTAAGTAAGAGAAGTGTGGCGTTAGCCCTGGTCTCACTCGCCACCCTCCTCCTGGGAGTATGTAACCCTCGGCCAGAAAATCAAAACCCTCTTTGAAAGGGTGTCTTTTACAGGAGAGTACTAAGTTCTGGATCTCTGCTAGCTACTGCAGCAGCCACTGGCTACATGTGGCTCTTGTCTACTGGAATTATGGATCTCCAAATGGAGGTGCCATCAGTGTCCAAGGGATCGTGGGTTCCAAAGACTGACTATGGAAAGAGTGTGAGCTGTCTGCATCGGTGGCATGTGGAAGTGATGTGGAACCATTGAGCCCGGCTCAGCTCGTGTGACCACGCATACACAACAGAAGGAAACACCACCGGGTCCGGCACCAGCCTCACCACCTCTCCAGTGGGTCAGCCCCTTGCTGCGGCCAGAATGTCAGTCCATCGCATTAAGGGTCGTCTTCTTCACTGCCCCTCTACTTGATAAAGCATCATGTCCTTCTCCAGGGACTGGTCCCTCCTGATGACGTGCCCAAAGTGTAGCTATCCTTCTTCCAACACACATTTTTTTTTATTCTAGCAGTCCACAGTGTACTCAGTATTCTTTAGTAACACCAACCCGTCTGTGGTCTGTCTGACCTGTTGTCCAGCTCTCACATGCGTAGGAGACCACTGGAAATACCATGGCTTGGGTCAGGTGCACCTTAGTCTTCAAAGTGACATCCAAGCTGCTCAGCACTTTCTTTCTTTTTTTAATCATTATTATTGGGGCTCTTGCAGCTCTTTTAACATTCCCTACATAAGTTGTATCAAGCCTGTTTGTACATATGTTCAACACTTTCATGAGCTCTTTTGCAGCAAATGTGCCCAGTTCAGTACATCCTTTCATTTTAGGGTTGCTGCTGCCAATCCTGTTGACTGTAATCCAAGTAAAATGACATTCTTGACAGCCTCAATCTGCTCTCCCTTTATCATGACGTTGCTTATTGGTCCCATTGTGAGGGGCTTTGTTTCCCTTCTGTTGAGGTGTGATCCACAGTGAGGACTGTTGTCTTTGATCTTCATCAGTAAGTGCTTCACGCCCCCTTCACTCGCAGCAAGCAAGGTTGTGTTGTGTCATCTGCACATCACAAGTAGTCGGTGAGTCCTGCAGTCCCGGTGCTTCCTCCTCCTTCACAGACCCCAGCTCCTTCGCTTCTGTGCTCAGCTTACAGATTGAATAAACAACAGCCAGCACCCACTCCAGCAAGTCAGCTGTTCCAGGGCATAGTGACCCCACACGGGGTCTCCAAGGCTGCAGATCTTGATGGGAGCAGAAAGCCTCATCTTCCTCCCTCAGAGCCACCTGTGGGTAGCAGTCCAGCAGTTACCTGGCAGCACCACCAGGGCTCAGTATGGTGAGCGGGTAAAACCCTGCACCACACCGTCCTGATTTTGCCGTATCCCCTTGTTCGGGTCAAATGAGCACCTCTTGGTCTATATGCGAACTGTGTTGCCTAATGCATGTTCTTTACTGAACCTCTCTGGCTTCTCACACCCATTGCAGTGGCTGCACCGAGCTCACACAGTTCTTAATTGACGGGTTTTGTAAGGAAGTTAACGAGTTGTAACACCAATGAGAAGTGCTCAGGGTTGAGTTGTTCATCAGGACATGGTACCCAGTTCTGCCAAGTCCCCTAATAAACACCCCCAGAGCATACCACTCTTCTCTGAGCAGCAGCCCAAAGGAATTCAGGCTAAGCTCCTTGGTCAGCAAGCCCAACTTCCCCAGTCAAGTACCCAGAGGTGCCCCACTCCACAAGCCAGTGTCCTGCTTAAAACCACCCGGCTCTGCTTGCTCCATGGTTAGAAAGTCCCTCACTCTGTGCCATGCTCCGGCTCCTGCTGCTGTGGTATCGCCGTCGTCTGGATGAGGGAGGTTCCCTGTTCAGGGACCGCAGGTCTAGAGAAAGCTCCACTCCTGGCTCTTGCTGGTAATGAGTTCCCTTCTCCTGCTTCTCAGAAGGCTCATTTTATACACCTGAGGCAGACACTCCAGGGACGCCTAGTCCCAGGTACTCACAGGTGAAATCCTATCAGTGTGTTCCCCCACCTTAGCAGACCCATGCAGGGAGAGGGCCTTTGGTGGGAGTTAGAGACTTGAGCTAGAAGAGCCACACTCAGTAGCCACTGCCCCTGCACAGGTCACATGAGAAGAATTAAGTGTTTTGGAATTCTCCTCTTTGCTGTGTTATTGTCATTTGTTATTATCCACACAGTTGAATTCCTTAGCATTCGCTGTCAATAAAACACAAGTATACATCTTTCTGATAGCCCTTTCTTTCATCCCAGAGCCCTCTGACATCAAGAAGGAGAGCCCTTGTTCTACAGCCTCCTCTCAATCTGCCTTGAATTTCTGGCAGGGCCTGCTACAACCATTTTTTGAACCATCTTCAGCAAAATTTTAGTTGTGTGATAGTAACAGTATTACTCAATATTCTTCACATTTGGTTGGCTCCCATTTCTTTGGAATGAGCATTAACATAGATCTCTTCCAGCCAGTTGGCAAGGAACTATCACCCACATTTCTTGACAAAGGCATGTCCTGTGCTGCCTCCGTTTGTTGAAAATGCCCAGTTGGCATTCCATCATTTCCTAGAGCCAGGGTCTCACCAGTGCCTGAAGTGCCACTCCGATTTCTGCCTTCGCCACTGTGGGTTCTTGTTCACGTGCTGCCTCCTAAAATGATTGGAGGTTGGCGAATTCTTTTTAGTACAGTGGCTCTATCTCCCTTCTACCTTTGATGCTTCCTGCATCATTCAGTGTGCCCCCATAGAGCCCTTCTCAAATATTGTGACCAAATATTCTTCCAGCTTGAGAAATTCCAAGTATCTTTCCTCTTGGGCTTCCCAAGTCCACTCTCTGCATCTTCCAGAGTAACACTGTGCTTCTCGAGTCTGCACCGCTGAAACCGCCTTCTGTCCCGCTTTGACGCCATCATCCCTTCCTTTTGATCGAGCTGCTCCGTAATCAAGAGCACTTTGATGGACGACCGCTTTGATCTCCCCCCCCCCCCCAACCCCACCCCTGTCTTTTTAATGAAAGCATTGCGTGACCAACACTGGAGAGTGACTCTCTGCCTTCTCCCTCCTGCACTGCATCGACACTACTGACACTGTCTCAGGTTGCACAGTTAGGCTACAGGGGTTTCTAGGGCGGCGGGCAGGCTGTGGGTGAAGGAAGATGACTCCTTCCCAGGTGAGTGTCCCTGACCAGACAAAATGATGAGCTAGGTTGAGTCATGTTTTCGTCACATTGGCTAACTTACCAAGAGCGTCTAGATAGGACCTCCATATTTAAGCTTGAGTGGAAGGATCATTGTGAAATTATTTTAAAACGAGACTTTTGTGGGGTGTGGGGTTTTGAAGCTATTGTTTTAAAGACACTTAAAGAGTAAAAACCATTGCTTGGTTCAGTATGCTATGACTTTACACGATTTATGTAATGCACTACTTCTACATGTTACAGTGTTTTATAGTGAAGGCATGTCGATGTATACGTATGTATTGCCTCATTTGACAACAGGAGATGTCAAGGGTTTGAGGAGAGAGAGAGTCATCCCAGGCATTGTGCACTTTACTTCCATTGGTTTAACTCTTTCTCAGGTCGCCCTGGTGGCCGTCAACATCATCGGAGACCCTGCAGACTTCAGTGATGAAAGCAATAGTGTAAGTTGCAGACGTGCACTTCCTGAAGAAGGAACTGGATTTAGCAGAGGATGGTTTTCCTTTTGGTCCCCTAATGTGTCCTCTTAACACTGACTCCCCGAGAAACTAGAACCCTTGAACCGAGTCCTGGGCATCTTTACATCAAGTAATCTTTTGGTTAAGGATTTTATGTTGTTCATTTCTTCTCCCCTGAGATGCTAAGAGTTCTTCCTCTCCAAAGACTTCTAGGGAGAAGCTCATTGATCACTACCTGGGGCACAATGCAGAGGACCCTGCTCTGGACGGCACGTACACAGGGTGAGAAGAGGGCCCTTCCCGTGGGTTTCAACAACTTGTCTTAGAATCCTGGAAATCAGGTCATATCCAGAGGACCCTGGATTTGAGGGCCTCTTAATTCTGGGCAGAGCTTGATAAAGCCACTGATGGGATTGTCTTAAGTGTGCTTACAGATTGAGGTCAGGGTTTTATCACGTGCATCTTCTTTGACTGCCTTTCAGAGCCCCCTTTCTTGTGTTGTTCAGGTATTAGGGTCTTAAAATGCACCAGAAGAAAGATGTGTCAACCCTCCATTGACCCAGGCAAATTCATCTTTAAAAATGAAAGGTATCTAGGAGACCCAAGCAGGAGAGAAATGAGGCTTTCTACTCCTGGAAAGAGTTACAGTGTTGGAAACCCACAGAGGCAGTTCTACCCTGTCCCATAGGGTCGCTCGATAGCAGTGAGTGAGCGAAGACCCACATTACCAGGAACCAGAGGCTTCATCTGATATATGCTTGAAAAGTTTCTTCTTCAGACGTCCGTCCGTTTCTACCTGCTAGAAGGTCTTCATGTTAAAACGTCCCTCCTGCTAACAGTTTGATGCACTTACTCAGCCTGCTGTCTTTGGAGCTTGAGTTGGTAAAGACTCCTGCAGGGTCAGGAGGGCACTGAGAGCCAACCCTGCCCCGAGTAGGTCTCTGCCCCTGCCCCTGCCCCTTGGGCACCTCCTCGGAGCGAACAGCTTCTCTAGCACCCTGTTCTGAAAACACTGCTCATTCAGGCAAGGCACATGGTTCCAACGATGCCTGAGGTGAGCCACAGAGGAATTCAAAATGACAGCCCAGTCCTCTTCTCGGGCAGCAGTTTCCCAGCAAAGAAAAGACGAAATGCTTACATTGTCGTCGGCATCTGCTGTCACTTTACTCTCTCCTGTCTGCTAACTGCCGACGGACCCTACAGAGTCCTGGAACCAGGCTCTCCTTTTTCCCAAAAAAAGGAATCAAGTCCCTCAGCAGTTGCCCAGGAGCCGCTGGCCAGGCTTTCCCCCCTGCGGGCAGTGCACCATCCTCTCGTGGAGGCTGCTCCCCAGAGAGCACCGACTGAGAGGGCCGCAGGCCAGCGGCGCCAGTCCTGGTACGGGTGTTAAGCACTGTCGTTCAAAAAGGGCCATGTATTCATAAGACCAGGAGCCCTCGTGGCACAGTGGTTAAGCACCTGGCTGCTAATGGAAAGGTCAGCCGTTCAAACCCACCCAGCAGGATGTAGGAGAAAAGTCTTGGCAATCTGTTCCCACAGTGGTTGCAAACTAGCAGACCCTCAGTGAACATCCATCTCTGACCTGCAGGTGAGTCTGAGGCAGAACCAGCTCCCCCGGCAACCACGTCCTTCCAACATCTACCAAGAAGCTGTGCATTCTCTTACAGGGTCTCAGTCTCTACTCGGCCTTCCTGGGTCCCACAGAGTCGTGGCCTCAGCCCTTCTTACCTTTCAAAGTGGTGACTTGGGGGTAGGAGACAAATATGAGCAGGAGCAGACAAAAGAGGGTTTCCAAAAGTTCACGAGAAACCTAGGTTACCCATATCGTTTAAACCGATCTTTTTAAATCAGAGGAGCCAAATGGAGGCATAGGCCGAACTCTGCCCACCTTGTCTCATCCCCCAGGGTTTTGTGAAGGTGACCTGAGACAGCTTTGAGAGAACCCCAGCAATTAAGGTCACGCTCTGGGCTTAACAGGACAGGAAACGCCCTAGGTGGCCACTAGGGGGCACTCTGAGCAGAGGTGGACAACCTTGCTCACCCAGAGGGCCTGAAATTCCCCCTGGGGCACCACGTGGTGTTATTTTTCCCTTGTAGGATTTACCCAAGGAAGTGAAGTTTTTGTCTTTATCTCTGGGACTTCACCGCTAAGAAATGTAGACATTAAGGGGGTAATTTACAAGGGAGCTTCAAAACCTTTGTGCGGACATTCCATGATCATCTCATCCCATTCTCCCACCCACTTTTGGAAGCCCCCTCGTAGGTTAAGCTCCAGGAGAGTGATCCTGTGGGCACATGACCCCGCAGCATTGCTGCCCGCGCTTGCCTGGGCTCGGGGACACCATGCGGCGGGCGGGCGCATGTGCTGCAGGGACTCCGCCCCTCTTGGGTTTGCATCGATTACTATACAGACTGGCCAGTTCTGTCTTGCACCCAGTAACAGTGTAATGAAAAATACCCTTCTGTAAAGAGCAGTCAGCCAGCGGCTTATCTCCTGTCGTTGGCACCACGCACACACTGGGAATTTGACTCAAAGAATGAGTATTTTGTCGAGTACTTGGGCTGACAGTAGTGCTGTTTAAGTCTTGGGTGTGGGGAGAAGCTACCTCTGGCCTGACTCTAGGATTCGGAAGGAAGACTCGGGTGCTCCGGCACCCGGAGGGCCTGTGCAGGTCGCTGGTGTGGTCATCTATCCCTGGAAGATGTAGGCTCGATGGCGACGACGTTGCGTTAGCACTCAGAGATGAGGGCACAGCTTCACAGCTGTCAGCTTCCTGCTCATCAGAGCCCAGTACCTTGTCCTCAAACACGGGTGCCTGGGCCACCTCAGACTGACCAGAGGACAGTGCTGGTGGCCATTTGCTTCCTTCTGTGCACTCCTCCTTCCTGCCCCCAGTTCTACAGGTGGTTCACAGCCTCTGTCGCAGCCCAGTGCCAAAGACGGAGCTCAGTGCAGAGTGGGCTCTGAGTCTTTATGGGGACCGTGAATGGATGGGTGGCTGCACCCAGCGTTGGGAAGCTCTGTTAGGTGGGTTCACAAATGACTGGGCACAGGGACTGTGGGACCATAAAGGCCTGCTCCCAGGTGCGAGCTGTCTCACCAGAATCGGGGACTCCTCCCCGGCACCTTGCTTTCCCACACGGGCGGCGCTCAGGAGGTGGGATGGCGAGACCTGCCGGCCCCTGGCCTGGGCACACACTGCCGGCCCCGTGGCGTGCCACCAGCTAACCTGAGCTCTAAAAGCCACTTCTCTTTGTCCTTCAGGAAGTCCGACTACATCTCTCCACTAGATGACCTGGCTTTTGACATGTACCAGGACCCCGAGGTCGCGCAGATCATCCGCAAGCTGGACGAGAGAAAGCGGGAGGCTGTCCAGGAGGAGCGCTACGATTATGCCAAGAAACTAAAGCAAGCTATTGCCGACTTGCAGAAGGTAGAACTTCCGGAACAGGTTCCCGCTGGGTACCTGGGAGGAGTTTCGGGCCCCGTGAGCCCAGCGGTGGCGACGGCATGTTAGAACAGATGAGCTAGTGGGGGTCCGATGGCGTAAGCAAAACGAGCAAGCGTGCACGACAGCCCTCGCTGCTCTCGCTGCCGCTGTGGGAAGGGAAGGGCAGGGCAGGTCTGTCACCTCTGTGAGGCCTGCCCCCGGCTCCTCACAGAAGGCCGTTGCCAGTGCCACTGGAGGGTCACAGGGATCTCTGCAGGTGGGCGAGCGCCTGGGGAGGTATGAGGTGGAGAAGCGGTGCGCCGTGGAGAAGGAGGACTACGACCTGGCCAAGGAGAAGAAGCAGCAGATGGAACAGTACCGCACCAAGGTCTACCAGCAGCTGGAGCTGCACAACCTCATGGATGCCGAGCTGGTAGGTGCGCAGAGGGGCGGTGGGACCCCCGGCTACGGAGTTCTGCCGAGTGTGGTCATGAGCAGGTTCCTGGGAGGGGATGGGACCCTGAAGATCCTGGGAGTTTGCCAGGCTCGGGCGGCTGCTAACCTCAGCAGTGTGCCTCCATCAGGGGCCTTGGCCTGGACAGGTTCTCTCAGGAGGGCTCCCCCTCTGCTCTCAGCTCCCCTGTCTGGGCAGTGGTTGTGGCCCCTCAGTGCCGGAGGACGAAAGGAGAGACGGGGACATTAGTGGCTTCCTGCCCGTGGGGAGCGGGTGTCCTGGGAGACAGGTATCCTGCCTCTCACCTGTGGAGCCCCCGCTGCACGCCAATGCCAACTGATGCCCCGTGAGGCTCGGTGCATACCCCTGGTCCTCCACTCTGACCCAAGATGCAGCCCCTCTGTGCTTGGTGCCCCCATGTTTGAAATGAGGGTGAGCGTGGAAAGCAGGAAGGAAGCTAGTTCGTCTACAGCATGAAGCCCCCTGCCCATGACAGCTAGGGCACAGTTCCTGTGGATCCCGGTATGGAATCAGTCCAGCTTCCTCCTGGCCTGCCCTCCTGCTGTTCAGCTTCTACGGCCATACACACAGACGCTGCCTGGCCACGGCCCGTTCTGGCTGTGGGGTCCCCACAGAGGGGGCCTCTGACTGCCTGGGGCATCCTTAGTGGAGATGGTCACTCGCTCCTAATGTCTTCCTTTTGGTTTGAAACTTGGCCACTGTGTGGGCGAGCCTCTGCCCGCGCTGCCTTTCCAACCCATTGCTGCTGTGGGAGAGACAGATGGGAGTGCCGCTGGAGTTAAGCGCCTGTCCCTTTTCCCTTCAGATGAGAAGACCCTTTGATGTGCCCTTGCAGCCCCTTGCCCAGCCGGGCAGTCCTCGCCTTCAGAAATCGCAGCCCCAGCTGCTGCAGCAGGAAGAAAGGCTGAGTGAACAGCAGGCCGCGGAGCCACCCATGCCGGAGCAGCCCTCCTCGCAGCCGCCCGCTGCCACCGGCCCCGGCCCGCAGCCCAAGAACAGCGTAGGTCCCCGGCCGCCTCGGGCTGTGCTCCCCTCAGTCCAGGGCCCGTGTCGTGCTTGGGGTGGGAATCGCCAGGTGGGAAGGAGGAGCTAAACCAGGGGACTGACCATGTGCTCGCTTAGAGTTCTCACACACACACACACACCACCACCCCCTGCCAAAAAGCCCACAGCCACCTGCCCCTTTGGCCACGTGTTTAGAAGTAGGCTTGCTTCTTGTTTCTAAGCAACAAACTGAGAACCTACTAAGAGGTTTCACAAAGTTTTGTGGCGAAATACCATTCTCTTTTAACACCATTGTTCCAGACTTTTTGGTGCCTCCTCTTATGAGAGATCTCGTTGGGGTGGTGGGGGAAGAGGGGCCGGAAACCATGATGACTCCTGCTTCCACACTCCCCATTCAGTGGCCCTGAGCTCGCTAGTGGTGACTCTTGATCAGGCCTGTGGTGCGAGCGGGAAGGAATAGGAACCCGAGCTCTTTGGTGAGCCGGCTCCTCCTGTGGAAGTCCAAAGGACTGCCGTGGAGAGCAGGGGCCACTCTGCAGGCCTGGCCTTGCTCCCGTTCAGGTGGAGGCGTTGCCCTATGACGAGCGGCCCCTCCCAGCCATCTGCAAGCAGCAGGGGGATGCCCACGTGGAGGACGACCTGAGCAGCAGCGCGGGTGTTAGCGAGGCGCCCCGAGCGGGAGTGCCGGGTGTTCCGTGGGAGCCAGAGCCCCTGACGGAGAAAGCCCTGAGAGAAGCCAGCTCTGCCATTGACGTGCTCGGGGAGACGCTGGTAAGACATGCGTGTGTTCACACGTCCCTTTGTGTGAGTGCATGTGAGAGAGCGAGGAGGAAGGACAGGCACCCCAACACTGGACAACAAAACCCAAACCACACTCGCTGCCATCTGGCCGACGCCAGCTCTGTGAGCAGCCCGCGGGGCAGGAGAGGACGGCCCACGGGAGCTTGCAGGCGGTGACCGTGGGGAAGGGGAAAGGCCCGTCTGTCTCCCAAGGAGCGGCTGGCCTTCAGATCGCAGCCAGACCCGTAACCACTGCGCCACAGCACTCCATAGGGATCTTGATTTCACTTGGCCATGTTGAATCCAAACAGCCTTTCATCAACTTTATGAGATAGAGCAAACACAAATGCTGAGATTCCATGACTCCGCGTTCCCTGAAAACTAGATGTTTCTTGTTCTCCTTCATGGAGCGGTGTTGAACATCACCTCTCTCCTGCCCACCGCCAGCTCATCCCGGGAGTCAGAGCAAGTTGCTGCTCGCAAGAACAAGCCCACTGGGTCTCTTCCTCTGTCCCCAGCGTTAAAATCGTTCTCTTATGGGGACTTTTAATGCTCTAGTTCCATATTCTAACAGAGTCTTAACATTTCCATCTTAGAAAAATGACTTCTCTGAATGTCTTTATTCTGTGGAGGTTTTATTTTACAAGACAATTCTGCATGGAACAGAGAGGGGGCGGGGATGGGGGGGGGGGCTTTCAAGGCGCTGATCCTGGAGGGCGATGGCAGGGCGTAATGAGATGCTGACTCTTTGGGTGAGACAGGCCTCCTGTTTCCCGTTAGGTTGCTGGGGCCTATTCCAAGACGTGGTCGTACCGGGAAGACGCGCTGCTTGCTGTGCATCAGAAGCTCCTGGACATGCCCGTGGGGACCCCGAAAGAGGGCCTGAAGAGCGTGCTGAGAGCGGCCGTCTTCCTCGTTCACAGAGCCGCGAAAGACACGGTGACCCCTGTGAGTGCCCGCAGCTACAGTGGTGCCCGCATCGGCGGGCGAGGCCTGTGAGGGGCCTGCTCAGCCAGCATCCGCGCTGGCCTCTGGACCAGCGCAAACCAGGCTGCTCGAGCAGCAGTGTCCCCTACCTGCCGGGAAGCCCAGGCTGAGCGCCCCATCCAGTCCGGCTTTGGACAGTCTGGGCTTGAGCAGCCGATCTTGCCACACCCTGAAGCCAGGGCTTGGCAGAGGTTTGATCTCCACTTCGCACCTACTTTCAGTTTGTCTTACTCCTCTTGAAACCCCAGGGCCTGAGGAATGACCGATGGTTTCCTCCAGCTCCAGAAAGGCCTTACGCGGGCCGTGGAGCCACCGCACAGGTGCCTACCTGCAGGAAGGAGCGAGCCTCTTGAAGCAGGAACCTCGGGGTTCTGGCATCAGGGGAAAATGTTAAGCCCGCCAGGATGGAGTGACGTAAGAGAACATAGTCCCCTAGCAAGGCCTTGGCACTTAAAGGGCAACATCTTGGTCGGCTTTTAGAAAGCGGTTTGTGATACACTGTGGACTTGGCCCTAACAAAACAAAACAAAAGCCTCCTTTGGGTTTTATCTTCACTATTTGCCAATATCCAGCCAACTGGGGAAATTTTATGCTCTTACTTGGTTTATGTTCACGCCTGAGATCAGAAATGTAATTTAAGAGATATGCTCTAAGCCACACTTACTGCCTGTGAGCTTTGTACACCCCGTGAAGGAAGTACTTCTGAAGACAGGTGACTTCCAGCCCGCTGTCTCCAGCCCTCCGGACGCGGACAGTGTCAGTGTCGTGCTCGTACAGAGCTGGGCATGAGGCAGAACCAGTCCTGGGGGGCAGCGGCAGTACTTCGCTCACAGGAATCGGGGAGCCTTGGTGGGGTGGTTATGCATCCGGCTGCTGACCGCAAGGTCAGCAGTTCAAAACACCTAACTGGTCAACAGGAGAAAGGGGCTTTGTACCCCTATAAAGAGTTACAGTCTCGGGAACCCACAGGGGCGGACCACTGTGTCCTGTAGGGTCGCTATGGGTCGGCAGTAGAAAAGTGGTAAGACTGCACCCAGACAAAACGCAAACACACTTGCAGGGCCCGGGAAAAACAGCATTCCAACGCTCCGGGTCCCACTCAGATGGTAGATTCCCTGGTGCCTTTGGCTGGAATTCAGCCACAGTCATGGTCTGTGTTTCTCCTTTTGTGCAGGTCTTCCAGGCTTCTCTGAAGCTGCTGAAGATGCTCATCACACAGTACATCCCAAAGCACAAGCTGAGTAAACAGGAGACGACCCACTGTGTGGAGAGAGCCATCCCCACCCTGCTCACCAGGACCGGCGACTCCTCCAGTCGGCTGCGCATCATGGCTTCCAACTTCATCCAGGTGGGCTGCTTTCCCGCCTTCCCCCCACCGCGCTCCCCACTGTGCTGTTCACACCAGGGTGCTAGCCAGCGGCCTGACCTCATGGGCTGGTGTCGCCTCTCAGCATCCTCAGTTCTGCTCACTCACCTGTCCTCAGAGGCGCAGACACTCCGAAGGAGAAAGTTCACCTGAGACGGGAGCTTTGATGAAAGGGGGCAGTTTCCCTTTTTCAGCGCTTCTCGTCACCATCAAAAGCTAATCATATTAAAACAAGTACAATTATAGTGAACATTAAATCCGACTAGAGAACTTGGCAGGGCAGAAATAATAAGCACGTCTGCATCTGAAAAAGTTCATCCACTCTACAGATGCACTTCTTTAGGACAACTCTTGGGGGAGGTGCTGCGTAAGGGTTTAGGGGCACACAGTTCCCCAGTGGTGGGAAGGAGATTTTCAGTGTTTGGAGTAACCGGCACATTCATTGATTGCAGGAGTGGTTAAGCTCAGGGCTGATGCATAGGCTTCAGCACGTGCACACGTGCGGAATTCAGTACAAAATCTGGTGGGTGTTGATCGCTCTCAGGATAGGGGAGTCCAAAGCTTCCAACCAGTTTCCCAAGCGAAGAAGAGCAGATCGCGGTGGTGGTGGTGGAGGTGGTGGTGGAGGTGGTGGTGGTGGTGGTGGTGG